GCTCTTCCAAACAAACACGGGAACGATTCCCAGGATAAAACAGTCGACGAACTATTTTTGACTATTCACGATCCATGCGTTTCAAAAGGATATGATCGCAAATTTCTTTTTCCCAATACATACTTGTTTCTCACCAATGGCTATTTGTACAATAATCATGATGGCGAACTCATTTTACCAGAGTCTTATTGCTTTGCCATTTTGTTTCGGGATAATCGGAACATATATGACGTGATCGTCTGCGATAATCAGACTACACTTCCAATATTTGTATCCATATGCCTCCTATTGTCTTTGCCGTTCCTGCTGTTGACGTTCATAATATATTCCATATTGCCAGAATTCCAGAATATCCATGGTTATACATTGCGTGCACACGTGGGTTCATTATTCATCACATACGCGATTATGTGTTTTGGCCAAGTTTCTGGATTAGATGAACTGACATTATATTGCGTTCCATTAGGTACAACATGCATAAACTATATCGTTCCATTATTTAAAAAATGACACAACTAAACAAATTAAGTTTCAGAGAAGGAGAAAAACTATTTTTCAATTTGATAGAAAATTGACTAATCAAATAATATAACGCAATCAAACAATAATAAGCTCCTTTGAGAATATATTCTTAAAAACATGATCAAGTGTCATTTTTATCATTTTTATTTCACAACAAAACTATATAACCTTTTTAAGTTGTAACGATTTTGATGTCCTTATAAAATTATAACAAATCCAGAATAATTTATCAAAACTGACATAACTCAAAACATTACTAAACAGTTTTTATATTTACCTTGATCAGCTCTAAAAACGACTAAATTCAATATAAAATTCTTTCAAAACATTTCTTTAAATTTCAATCACCAAAACTGTCTTGACTCTAAAAATTTTTTGTTCTCCTTTTATTTACAAAAACAATACAACTCAATATATGCTTGATGATTAACACATTATTTAATTTCATCTTTTCAGCATATATCTTCAACTTCTTCTTTTTGTCAAGTTTTTTTTGGCTAAATGTAATATGCTTCGATATTTGGTGGACATTTAGGTGAGCAATATATATGTTTCATACAATATTATACGCGTGGTGCTCGTAATTAATTCAATTAATTTAATTTAATTAATTTTAAACTTTTTTTTTAACGAAACTTGATGTTTAAACAGTTACTATGTGTGAGCATGTTCGTTATGTATGTGATTTGAATCAATTGAACTGTGTGCAAGTGCGCCGCTCTCAATAGGCAATGAGCACACCTTTTTACTTCCATTATGATTATACGCAAGTAATATTATACTACGTACAGTATTCACCAGAGAATGGAAAGTTACTTTTTAAAAGTAACAGATTTTTTTTCAATAGGAGGAGCTTTCTAGTCTCGCGCTATGAATGGCTTGTGTCCAATCGAACCATGTCCAATTGTGTGCAAAGTAACGATAAAAGTAACTGTAAAATTCGTTATCGTTACTAAAAAAATGTAACTACAGTTGTAAAAAAAAGTAACGCAGTTACCAGTAAAGTTACCAAAAAAGTAACTAATAACTGTAACTTCGTTACAAGTATTGAATTAGTTCCATTCCCTGATATTCACTGAAGTGCAAAACATTGATTTACATAAATGATTTTTATATTTCTTAAACGCTTCGAAACAAAATATTCAAATTGTTCAAATAGAAAACTTTATAAAAAACGCTTTTCGTTTTTAAGATAGGATATATGTATTGTAGTTTGAAAATCAGTATACACACTAAAAATATTAATATTATATTTACGAGTATATGTGTTTATGTGTAAGTTTTTATAATTATTACTTTACAAAGCTTTAATTTTAAAGAGAGAGATAAGATATTTTCGTTTTCAAATGCATATTATATATTGGATAATAATTTAATTGTTATTGATTAAACATAAATCGTATTTTATAGAGAATTCCGTCCGTATCGAAGAGGAGCAAAAAAAAGAAAGAAGCTTATAATATATTCGATCTATGCATGGGGAGTCACCATCATTCTCAATGTTATCTGTTTCCTCATGGATAATCTTCCCATAATACCAATAAATGTGGTCCGACCAGAAATTTGCCAAAAAAGATTTTGGTTCAGTGGTAAGTGATACCAGCAATTATTAACGCTAGCGAAAAATTAATATTTAATTGAAATCTTGATTAAATTTTAACAACTTTTAATTTAAATAATGAACGTATCATTCACATGTATTAGTGTAATGTAATACAAAGAATTTGTTTTTTGTTTCAGAGAATGAAGCAAAAACGCTATATTTTTATGTACCCATGGGTGCTACTATCATCAGTAACATTTTTTTTTTCATCTGCACAACACTAACGATTCTGTACCAGAAAATATATATAGCTCAGTTGGAAGACTCGGAGATTTGGCGCCACGATGAAAATAAGCAAAGGTCTATACAATTAAGGGCGACTTCGACCAACTCCGATTAATTTTGATCGACGATTAAATTGGAATTGACCAATCGTATTTGTCATTTCACTTAATGATGGATGCGATTGGTCAATAGACTAACCGTCGATTAAAGTTAATCGGAGTTGATCGAAGTGGCCCTAAAAGAATTAATGTTAGTTTAAAGTACTGTAACTTTGCGAAAAAAAAATCGCAGTAACTCGTTTTTTTTTTTAAATTAAAGACGAAAGTTCGAATTTTGTGTCGCTGCAAACGGCATTCTCCGAAAAAATTTTACAAGTCGACATTCCGTCAAACTTTGCAATTCTCAATATGACAAACACATTCTCATATTTTGGGAGTTACAGTGGTAGGGGTGTATTAAACTTAAAATCTGGCCATAGCGTCTTAAAGTAGAGATTTCAAGCTTTAATTAAAAAAAAAAAAACGTTATCCTATGATAATTTTTCGTAAAGTTATTGTCAGTCAAAGTTGGTCAATTTTTGTCCAAAATTTTTCTGTGCCATAATTTTTTTGAGCAGTGTATGTTTTATTAATATATCTTATAGTATAACGATTGTAATTACAAACAATACGAAATGTATTTGCTCACAGGTTTAATATGTATTTGAAGCTGTTCGTAGTGATGGGAATAACTTGGGTTTTGGAGATAATGTCGTGGATCGATATTGGTGCTAATATTGTATCACAGTTCATCTGGTATCCCGCTGACATCATAAATGCCTTGCAAGGTCTCACCATTTTCATCATATTTGTGTGTAGAAAAAAGACCCTGCTAACGCTATTAAATCGATTTGACTGGAAGATTTGCGATCCATTTAAGATTCCAATAAGCGATAGCAGAAAGGAGTTCGGAACAATACACATGCAACGAATGGGTTCCTCTAATTAACAGCTAATCATCTCGCAAAGTTCAATTAGTCTTACTCATAAATGTTGCAATGCAAAGGGAAAATTCTATTATAGATAAGAGTTAACAGTTAATTAGCAGCATAATTTAATTCTTCAGTCTTTAGAAAAGAGATTAAAATTATACAAAGAGGGACTGTCTCAAATTTTAATAATTCTCTTCGATTTTCACTTTACAACGTATTTCAAATTTTATCCCAAATTAAGAACATGTAGGAATAATTCTTCATTTTTAAATGTGAAAATAATAAAATGTGAAATAATAAGTGAAAGTAATAAGTGTGAAATATAATTTTCAATTAACATGTGAAGAATTTTATTTGATTTTTTATTTAAAAACCCGGACATTATTCATGAAATACATCCCGGTAAAAAATTTTTCATACATAAATATGTATAAATATGTATAAATAATATGTATAAACAAACATAAACACGTATATTCGTAAGAAAAGACATTAAAAATGTAAAAAAGAAGCGTCAAATATATTTTGCAATATTTTGATACAAAATCATTTTGTAAATATTTTCAAAAACATAATGAAAAGAAACAAAAATGATATCACAAAAAAGAAGTTAAATTAATCATTTTTTAATAATGTACTAATTATGTTCTTGAAAATTTTTTGATGATATTTTGGATCTGATAACATAAAAGCTCTATCAACCATGCTTACATTATTATGCCTCTTTTTTGTGAGAGTGGATGTGAATATATATTCAAGTTATTATTTTAGTATTGATATATTTCATATTCAATAAATACACATACAAACAAATATTTTTCTATGTGATTCTCTTAAATTTTTTTACTGTGGTAATAGAATGTGAAGTTTATTACGGTTATAATATATATTAATGGGTGAACTTCCGAAAACGTCAAACGTCCGATTGTCATGAATTTTGATAGAAATACTCTAAATAATGTCAAGTGAATACCATTAAATGGATTTTCACCGACACGAAGGTTTAATGCCAAAAATGTTGACACAAAGTTATGATAGTTGAACTGAGATTAAAGTTAATTTACTTTGGTATAGAAATAGAATTTTCATGATCAAAACAAGCATATAATGATAAACTATGACGAAATAAGACTACATTCTCATGGATATATGTTGAATAGCGTACTGTTTATTAAGTAGTACAGCGTCGCAAATTAACTTTATAATTTCACAGTATTAGTCTGACTATCCATTTGTTCGTCTGCAGAATTTCTCACGGATTTTTCAAATTCTGTTTTCGGCAATAGACTCAGACCTTAACTCCATCGAGACAAAATATTAATCAAATCAGTTGAAGTTCTTCCAATAATTATAAATTTTTCATTGCACTACTTATTGTTAGTTATATCCAATACATTCGTTGCAAAAAATTTATTTCAGATTGTCTATTTCAGATTATCTAGCTATTTTTTTTATATTATTTCAAATTTAATATTAGATACCATTTATTTTTTAAGAAATTTTGGTAGCACCGGTGACCACTATGAATGATCTAGCTAGCGTCAAAAGTCAAGTCCTACTCTTTACCGAATGACCAGCATAGTAATCAAGATTAATGACTATTTATATTATTTTAACTCGAATAATAACTATTTATATTATTTTAACTCGAATAATATTTACGATGTAACATCTGGTCCGCGCATGTTTAAACACAAAATGCATGGGATTCAGAGAAGTGATACCACTATTTCCTATGTCAACGTCTGCATTATTTGATATGCAAAGGTATCAGAAATGAGAGACGTAACATCCGTGTGAGAAAAGGGTTTCTTTTATGTAATTTGCTTTAATCTACCGAAATGTCTGTCGCGTATACTTAGTAACAAGCTTTTCTCCGTTTCTTTTATTTATAGATGAATAATTTATAATTTCCTCTTATGTTACAGTACCAATTAATTTTGATTTCGTTCATCATTTATTCGACGATACTTTCGAATCATTCGAGCTCATCGAAGACCACTTAAGCTTTTTTTGATTAACGAAGCAGAAAATTGGAAATATTATAATCGGAAATGGCTCGTTATGTCATTTTATAAATGAAGTATTTGATTATGACGACAGCTGTTATTATTTTAATTGGAATTTTAATCACAATGATTAGCATGATCCTCATCAATACGCTGTTTGAAGTTTGAAGTCTTCTCTGTTCCCGTAAGTAGATATTCCCAGTTTGTATCGTAAAACGATTATTTTTGAAGGTCAAATCCGATCGCGTAATAAAAATGTCAAGTTGATTAACAGTCTGTTTCTTTCTTCTATATATATCTTGTACGCTGATAAAAGGAAAAGAAAACGGATAAATCGGATACAAGACGAAAGCTGCAAAATAAATACATTTTACTTATTAATTATATGTACGTGTTTTATGCATAAATACACACAAGTTTTTAAAAAAGTTTTTAAGCTCGAAATGCTAAGGAAGTTATTAATCTTTATTTTCTTTTTATTTAATATTATTTCATACATAATTGATTTTGTATTTTATATTTATTTTGCTCAATAATATCATCTCATATATAATACCCATATCTCAATGTTTTCTCTACTTCAATATTGCCTCATTATAAATTCTCTCTTGCTTCCCTATAAGCGCAAAATGTTCCTAGAATGTTACATGAATATTATTAAAAAAAAAATTAAAATAATGTTACAATATTTCGAAAATATAAATATTTTTTTAATATTACAGGAGTATTCTATAGAGGTTATACGTCCACTTATATAATAAACCTAGGTATTATATTTTAATATTCCTGAAACATTATTAAAATATTAATAAATATTAATTATTTTTAATTTTGTGCAATTTGAATTCACAATCCAGTAACGAAAAGTTCTTATCAGTCTATGCTGCATTTTTTTTAAAAAAACGTTTCAACGTGATTTTAAGTACATATCCAGTTCTACAACTGAGAGCAAAAATCATTTTTAATTTTTAAACGTATACTTATACTGAACAGTACAACTTATACTGTTTAGGAGTGGACATATAACCATCCATTAATATTTCAGGAATATTATTTAATATTATATAATTTTAGTAAAATATTATTAAAATGTTATATTTAATATTCTGAGAATATGCCTAAAATATTATTTAATATTAAATAATATTATGCGCTTATAGGGTTAATTTTCTCTCCCACACGTATATATTTTATTTATTCTGGTCTATATAATCTGTATACGAAGTTAAGTCATACTTCGCATATGAATCACCCTGTATCTACAACCGGCATGCGTTACGCGTGTGCGTGCATGTGGACCATATCCCACGCGTGTTCCGAAGTGTTCCGAAGCTGGCGACGACGCCGAGAAACGACGCGAGACGATCTTTCTGGTCCGTGCACTTCGTATAAATCGTACGCTGTGCAGTCCATTGGGAGGAGTCGCGAGAGGATGAGGTTCATTTTACCGCTCGTGATCCTCCTCGGAGCGTGCACGTGTCATGCTCGCGACGACGAGATCGAAATCAATGAGATCGATAATGGTGAATCGGTGCCGCGCGAAACGCAACGCGTGCGCAATATCACACTCGCCCAGATCTTCGAGAACGCGATCCAGGCCTATCTCGAGGAAGACTGGGACGGTTGCATCGCGGGATTTAACGATGCTCTGCATGGGTACGTTATAATTATCCCGTCAGCGTCGTCGATACTTTCTTCTTTATAAGCACTCAATGTATATTAATTTTATGAGGTACTTTTAAATTTTATCTGAGTTTCCACTCTTTTAGTAAAAATTCTTAAAGTTTTTAAAATTAACCGCGTTTTCTAAGATCTCGTTTTAAAGAAAATACATATTTATACTTGTATGAAACTTTTTACATATTTATTAATAATTTACATGCGCGCGCGCGCGTAAATTGAAAAAAAAATGATTCATGAGTATACTCAATGTATATTAATAATTCTAAAATATCAAGTATTTTAAATGTTTTATTTAAAAACAGTGCTCTCTTCTGAAATATTTAAAATGTAGCGCATTTTTTAAAAACTTTTTAAGGAGAAGGATTTTTTTACCTTTCTGTATGTTTTTAATAACATAAAATTACGTTTTGAAAAAGGAAATGGCATGGAAAAACAACTAAAAAGAATAAGTCACATAACACACACAAGTATAATATATTAGAGAGGTCAGATATTTTAATTTAAAAAAAGAACAGAATTAAATAATAATTAAATCTTTAAAAAAATCTTTCACTTAAAAAAATTGCAGTGTCGATATTACAAAATATCTATAATTTATGTAAATTTTTTTGTTCGCAATACATAATTAATTCATATGTTAAGTCCATATTTTTTAATGTAAATTTACGTAATATTTCATAGATATAAAGCATATAAACGCCTGGTGATAATTTGCCGGCGAAAATGTAAAGCTGAGGCGGCAGGTTCCTCGCCAATCGTCGTGAAAGATATTGAGGATCTGCACTTTTACGAAAGAAAAGTGAGGGAAACACTTTGTCTAATGAAATGTAATCAGGATTATCGAGAAATCGCAGGTGAGGGGGCGCTTAAACGACTCCCACACGCCACTGAGAGGAAATTTGTTGACCTTGCCATCTACGAGTATCTTCATATTTGTTATTTTCAGGTACGAAAGTATATCTATTTGACCAAAATACTTTAAATAATCGAATATTATAAACCTTTCATACAAATTGCAAAAAAAGTATAATACTTACAACATTAAATTAAAACATAATTTTATTTTTCATTTTATATTAATACTTATAATTTATATTTGTATTTACAATATTTATTTTTATAATAATTAAACCATAAAATATGACAGATAAATTTAATTGCGACGTGATTTTACAAAGACATGTGTCTCTACTTACTTACAGAAGATACCATAAAAAGCATTACGAAAATACTATACTCCCCGGATCCTAATCTGGTCGATTACGTAATTACATCAGTAGTAGATATTTGGTGTCCGCGTCCGCTGCGTAAATTATGAGTTAAACAACTACATACGGCATGATCCGAAAAACTGATTCGTATCATTTCTTGTTAAATAACATAGCTTTATTTTTGAGAAATTGCGCATCGTTGTTTATAACACTAAATCTATGGAACTCTCGATTTTAATTAAAAATTTTAATTAAAAAGT